ATAACAAAATCAGGAACATCCAACCTTTTAAAAATATGAATTTCAAACGCTTATAAAAATTTAATTTGATTTGCTTGTAGACATTTTTTTTGACAAAGGTAGACAAACTTATGAGGAATCTTGTATTACATTTTCAAATCTTAGATTTAAATAGAATTTTTTTATGAATTTCTAACTAAAAATAATTTGCAAATTTTTGTGAATTTTATGTATTTTGTCAATATTTGAACTTTAAATGTTTATAAAAAAAAACTTGTCACTATAGATTTTTAATATTTTTCATCTGTCTTTTAAAAAATATATTAAGAGCCTTCTATTCAATTTTCAAGTTTTTTTACCCAACAAATAAAATTGTATTGATATTTATAGAATAAAAAAAAAAAATTGGAAACTAAAAATGTTCGTAAACAGCTCAAAGTAGCCATAGAAAATGTTAATATAAACATTGAGTCAAAATGTCATGTATCTGGGAAGTTTTTACTTTTGACCTCCCAAAGTACCAACTAGATTCACTTTTCTATCAGAAAAGATACTGTTGAAGAAAATCTAAGTACTTTTACTGTCCTAAAAGGTGATGCCGATATAACTAACACAAAAATAAAAATAAAAAGACACACGTCATTGTAAAATCAATACATTCATCTCTCCGCTCAGAATAATTTATTTATAATATAAATGGAAAAAATAGTTTTAATAACTAACTAGAACAACTTTAAATTTATTTTAATTAAAAACGGGTATAATACATGTACAAGTACAACTATAATTTATTTCAGAATCTTAAAAACTTCGATTATGCAATCCAATACTTACAGTTTTACTTATTTAATTTAAATTTGTTATTATGGATCTATTTACGTTTACAACACGTTAAAAACACATTTATATTTCATACACTTTTTTTATACCAGCTTATTTAACCTTCTTATTTCACGGTTTAATCATAAAAAAACCAAGTCCAGTAAAATACTGTTTAAATGTGCATATCATGTAAGTTTAGCAATAAACCTTAGCTTTATCGTAAATACAAAAGTATAAAAATATAATAATAATATAAAAAATCTGATGTTTGATTGTGTTTTGCATCAAACTTTCATTGGTATACTTAATTAATTTTATTACGAAAACATTTTATTTCACAAATTACCCCATAAATTATAATCAATTGATAATAATAACAATCTATAATATTATGCAGGTTTAATTGTTTATTTCATAATTTTATTATTTGTGAGAATAACTTAATCATAATTTCCTTCATAGGTGCCTAATATAAAATCGTATTGATTGATACATGTATCATTGTATTAGCATGTTTTAAAAAAACTAAGCAACAAGTTTAAGTATAGCTGCTTAGGTACTTAACAATTTATTAGAACGTTAATGTTAGGATTGAATTACAAAAATGTTATTGACAGATTTGTATTTTTCTACGTATCTTCTATTGCCATCAAGTCGTCTACAGTTTCTATATACAACCGTTTTAAATGATTAAAATGAAATATATTATAAATTATATAGTATTTTGTTTTTAATTGAATAGAACAAAAATATTTCAGTGAAGATAAGTTTAATTTATTAGCACCTGCCTTCTTTTAAAAGTTATAATCTTAAAGTATATTATGAATTTAAACTATACTGTTTTGGGGGAGACGGGGAGTTCAGTAGATATCCGATAAGTGCTAATACGAATATCTTCTTTACCTGCGAGTTCAATATCAGTATTAGGTATTTAGGTACATTTAGATTTGCCTGAGTATCGTTTCAATACCAATTGTTTGATATGTGAATCATAACATGAACACGATATTTCAAACAAACAATAATATTCAATTGCATTCTTTAATTTAAATCGCTATTTAAGTCTTAAGTAATATGATTTGACGGCTAGGCCTTAAACTCTCAAGTATAAAATGTAACGAACTCGCTAGCATATAGTTCATTTGACTGCCATCACATGTTTTTTTCTACTCAACCCTCCAGCGTGGATTTCCATTGTTTTTATTGGATATTGATTACAGTTTTATAGAGAGTACAAAACAAACAAGCCGTTGAGATAAAATAACATTTTGCCGGCGGTAAACGACGTTTTTGTCGCGTAAAACGGTACCTACGTAGCCCGCCTGTCGAACACCTTTATTATTATTATTTTTTTTTTTTTTTGTAATGGGCCTAAATTGTATTATATAAGTATACCACACGCTCTTTTTGAGCCGCCATTTTGTGCTTGTTGTAGTATTATTCCGTCTACGATATTTATTTTTAGCGAAAATACGTTCAATATAACGCGTGTGATGTTTTTCCTCTTTGCATCGTCTTCACATATATACCTGAACCACCGGAACTATACCAGAGTCAAGCATAAAGCTAATATCCGATTACCGGGAAGAAAATATAAAAAAATATAACCCGTTCTGAGTTTGTTTGCAGGTAACGAATTTGTAGCGAAGCGTCATGTAAAATAATGTTTATATAACATAGTTAAATATGTGTTTAATGTCTGTATTCAAATTGAAATTGTAACAAAATATATAAATATATTTGTATATATTTAAATTTCTATTTAACGACTAGGTAGGTAAAATCATAAATTGTATGGTTTTTTTAGTATACAAGACGATACTTTTTTGTAATAAATTAGATTAGAATATAAATTTCACATAATGGGTTAATCTTAATTATTTCATATCCATTAATGGTTATAAAATATGTATCACCAAATGTGTTGAAAAATATAATACTATACATAATATACTATATACATAGTACATACCCATCATTCAAAAGTAGGTTTACCTAATTATACAATTATGAATTAAAACATATTTTAGTTGTTAGTTACAACACATTGCCACGTTAATAAACAATAGTTACACCATTTAAAATAAATAATGTTTTTCAGTAAAGGTTATTTATATTATTTTACTACTTTCATCAAAAGTTAAAAATAAATAGTTTTAATTTTAATTAATTATTCATTTTATATTTCAATACATTTATTATTCATACATCATACATGTACATTTGTTAAACTCTTTAGTTAAACGTTTTTGTATTGTTCATAAATTGTTTCAGTCGTTTCAGATAATAAATCATAACATTTTACATAACTTTATTTTTATAAGAAAATGTATGGGTTGCTTTGTTATTTAAAAAAATATGCTATTAGAGTGTATATAACTTACATAATTTTTGATTACTGCTCACTAAATGAGAAATCTTTTTATATTGTTTTGATTGGCAATTGGCATGACATAATATATCATATATTATAATTTATAATTATTTGGTATTTAAAATGTGTATTCATTTGAAAAAGGGTGGCTCGAACAACTAGACTTTAGGACCTAGAGGCTAGAATCATATGCTGGATTTTAGAAATTCCATCAGTCCAAATTTAACTGCTAATATGTATTGCATTAGAAAATATCTAGAAAGAGGGGTCGAACGAGATCAACATACAGCAATAATATTTCATTTTGTCAACAAAAAGACAAAAAAGAATACTGCATATTTTGAATTACTCTTTTTAAAAATTATTATTATTAATTTTTTTGTATTGTTATTAAACCAATAAAATGTTTAAAATCTCAGGTTATTAGCCTAGAGTATTACGATATCTTAAATTATATATAATTTTATTATCATATTAATTTATTAGTTTTTTTTGTTGTCATTTTAATGTACAAACTTAGTAGAATAAATTAGATTTATGTGTAGACATTACCTACCAAGCGAAGCAGTGGCATGATTAGGCCCCGAGACCCCCAAGTATGTCCAAGTCAGGGGACCACAGGATCTTTATCATTAGGTACATTCAAATAAAGACATAATATAATATTTTTCAAAAAAAGCAAAGCTTGACATTGTAATAATTTTGAAGACATATCATAAAGTTTGAGATTAAAATATTGAAAAACAAAGTTCAATTCGGTCTGAAGAATATAACTGTCTATTAGTTAAAAAAAGTATAAACGAATTTGGTTGATTCTACAGAACAGGATCGTTAATCCCCTAGAGCGTATTTTTGTGAACCAAGTTACATTCGTTAGGAGCCTTAAAGAGGGCCTCTGCCTCTTATGGCCCTAGAACCACAACGTTTCTTGTTAGGCCACTAGAGCGAAAAGATCAATTTTCTTTATATTAACGGGCAACGGCCACAAATATTTACTGTGCCCCAGCTCCATTTAGAGTTAGCACTCCCGGAAACAAAATTGTTTGATTCATTTATTTTTATTAATGTAATACAAAATCAGAGCATTGTATAGTAGAATTCATCAATTCCGTCAGTACATATATCTACCTATAAACATAGAATATATTAATATATAACATTGTTTATCCTCTTTTACAAATAATATCCTTGGGAAATGTTATGTATATATTTTTTGAATATTCATCGATAAAAATTTTTTCACTCGGTCGAAAAACTTTAAAATTTAACACAAGGTGTGGTAATAACAGTTCAAAAATATTAAAGATATCTAGGCACGATATTTTTAAAAGAATTTAAAGTTCAAATTTTGACAAAATTCATCAAAATCACGAAAGTTGCAAATTGTTTTGTGGTTAAAAACTTATAAAATGCTCAATTTTTATAGCTAAGGATTGTAATTTTAAAATAATTTTTCTCACAAGTATTTAATAGTGTAACCAAGAAATCTAAACGCAGACTTTTTTAATAAATATTTAAAATTCTAATTTAGACGTAATTAGATACGTAATTGTATAATTTAAAAATATTATTATAATATAGGCTGACCAACTGTCTTTGCTCAGAATCGTTTTTCGTATCGTATTTTAGATCATTGAATTAAAATTTAACATATTCATTACAGTGATCTACTATAAACACTTATTATTACTTAACAATATATTAAATTATTATGACTAACAACTAATTGCCGCCGAAATGTACGTAAAAAAGTTTTGATGGGCCAATTATAGAACTATTGTGTCTTATATTTTAGGCAGAATATAAAGTAAACAGGCCAAAGTGTTCACTTTATAGTGTATATTATAGAGGAAACTAAATAGCTTTTGTAAATTTTGACCATAGACCGGACCTTTCCGTAGCGTTTGATGATAATTTGTAAATAACTGTGAGGATGATGAGGATTTGTCCACGGGCGTTTGTTAATGTTTACAACACCAATTCCATTCCATTCAATTCCATTAATCCCACCATCACTTTGCCAAAACGTTTCCGGGATCGGCAACAGTGCTGACCGGATGAGGCGGACTCCTGCAATACTCGGCAATGGTACAACTGACGTAGACATTAATATGTGCGTAGGTATATAATATATTATATTATAGTAATTAATTGTTAAACTTGCCGCAGATAATACAGTAATTAGCATTAGTAAACCTGAGAATCCGGTGTGTTTGTGTATGTTTGTTTGTGGGTGTTGGTTTATGTGTATGTGTAATGGTGTGGGAAAACGGATATCTAGGGGGGATTCGTGAGGGCTTAATAATGATAGTATATAGTGTGGCCAGTGCACCAATAAAGCTGTGGAAGGAAGAGGAAATAACACCGTGTGAAATATTTTGTGTAATCCATCAGGACATCGCTATAATCCAACATTTGACAAAATATGCCCAAAATAATTTAACTATATTATATCACATTATTATACTAATACAGTAATGCCTATTCAATATAATAGTGCAGGGTCGTATTACGTGCCTTACACATTTACACATAATATAGGTAATGTATATACTTATATTACAATTTATCTATATACGACATTTCTATATATGTCTATATGTATATACACATTGAATACATCTAAGAAATTCGAGACTACGAGAAAAACAAAATCAATACAACCCAGATGTCCCGTCTTTAGAATGTATTTAATTAACTAGGTATAGGAATTGAAACAATTTTCAAGATGGAAAAGTCTGGTCTTCGTGAAATGGTATTGAACAATTATTATCAATTTTATTATTATTATTGATTTTTCCTTAGTTTACCATAAAGGTCATTTGTTTTTAATCATGATTATCTACATATTAGGGCGAAGCACTTGTACTATTAGTTAGGTGCAAGTAGTGTAATATTTACCTATCTGATAAATTACATTTTTATTCTTATTTTTATGAATAAAACATTATATTCATTTTATGATTTTATTGGGATTATTGGTTGCGTTCAACCAGTACTGATTCAACTTTACACTGTGTTGTTTTTATCATTACAAACACAGGGAACAACAATAAGTAGGTAATATTAATTTGTTATACTATATTATGCATTATTTCTTTATTTATTGAAGTACGGCCGGTAGCCCAATATAGTTACATTACAAGAAACATTTAGGTACATGAAATATTATCATGCAAAAAATATATAATGATCAATAAGAAACAAAAAACAGCAAAATGAATAATGAATAACAAACATAAAATATGGATAATATGATAGGTACAGAAAATTAATTAGATTGCGAATGAGACGATTCAGTAGGTATTGACAATCCTAATCATTCTTACAGGCGGCTCATTAGCATTTAGCAGCATACAAACAGGAATATAAAACGGATAGTTATTTACGTGTGACCAAAATAGGGATTTGAAATTAACGCAAGGGAGGAAATTAGAGAAGTCAATTTTAACTGACAGTAAATTAGAAAGAAAAGTTTAATTAGCGTATACTCTCCTCTCAGCCAACGAAGATAATTGTAGAGTAAAAAGGACTAGAGAATAATCATGTGGCTGGTGCTCAATTTTTAATACATGCCCAGCTAAGTACAAAAACGTACGCTGTACGCGCTCAAAGATATAATTATGACCTAATTACATGAGCTATTATACAGCTATAAAAATAATACAATATATTTTTATTATAATAATAAATAAGTACGTACTTAATACTTAATTATATAAATTAATGTAGTTTATTATTATACTATTTACATTAGTTTAGTTTTATTTTTATGAGTGCAGATGATGAAGCGAACTTGCCAAATTCATATTTTATGAATATACTTCATTATGCCTTTTTTTTTTAGAGGTAAGTACTTATATTTTCGCCATTTTGTGTATCTAACAACCTCTCATTCTCAATTTTCTTAACGAACGATATTGTTATTTGTTTACAATCTCTTAATCGTTTTAAATTCGAAAATGTAGACAATATTTTATAACTTTTTTTAAATTTCAAATACCTTCCGATTCCTTTTTCGAATACCTTTTTTTCGATTGTCAGTTAAATAAAGTATACCTATCAGTCATACCAATAATTCAGAAAATAAATGTATTATATTTGTATATATTGATTGTATTATACTCATATCCATATTATATTTTAACCAATGATTATCCCGACGATTTACATAAACCCTCCGTGCAGTGGATAAATTATACTACCCACAAGCCACAACTCCCGGTCACTAATGCTGACCCTATACTATAATCCCTTTTACTATAAACTAGCAAATGACTTGGGTCTTGGTTATATTAGAAATCACTAAAATAGTAAAATGTTCAATAAAAAAATATAGTATGAAACTCTAAAAAGTTGGTTAGCAACTGCCTAACAATGGGAGTAGGTATGTATATTTAGCATATTATAAATAAATAGTGTAAATAGTACATTAAACATAATTTTATAATCTGAGCAAATATTTTAAAAAACAATTTTTGTGTATGTCAGTATCACGTTTTGTAGCATAAATAATTTGAGTGTAGTTTCTGCTACCAAATCGGGTCTAGTACACTAGAGAATCAAAAGTATTATAAGTATAAAAGATTCGTATATTTTTTTAAATAATTGTAAAAATTACCGGCTTTTGCAAAAAGCGATTTTGTATTTTTGTTGTAACTCAAAAAGGAATTACTGCAGAAACTTAATATTTATCAAATATTTATAACTTCATTTTCTAGACATGATTTTGGTGTTTTTCTTTTTTTAGATATTTATGGATATTTGAGATAAACTATAGTTACTTATAACAATAAAAATATCACTTTTTATGAAAAAAAAAATGCAATTGTGTTTTAACTCCATATACCTATACAATGTAAAATAAATATTTTCAAAAACATTAATGTTTTTAGTAATAAAAAAAATTATAAACAAATATAATATAATATTTACCTACGTCACAGTGTTTAATATACTGACTGGAGTCTACGGTCTACCCCGTATACTATATTATATACTTGAATATTCAATGTCGAAAATCATTAATTTTCGGTACTTTTTTTTCTCTGTCCACTTCTATCCAATTATTTTTTTTATAAATTACTTTTGTTCCAGACAGATTCTTGTTGCAGAAATACTAATAGGAAATTATTATTTCAAATTATTACACTACAGCTAAAATTTAACATGAGAGTTAAAATGTGGTAAAAGAGTTACTCGATTTTCCAACAAATATGCGTGCTACGAAGTGTGTTAATCGAAACGACGTCTGAAACAAGAAGGGTCAATCAATTCGACGTTTTTGATTTGACACTTCCCAGCTTGCGACGAAAATAGGAAAGGTTCTAAAATATCTGATGGTCCGAATTTGATATCACATAAAACAAATATTTACATTATATTATATGTAGCGTAATAAATTATAGGAGACCCTAAGAACTAAGGACCCCTCCTCCAAATGATTTTGATATGGTTATAAATAATTATACATTTAAAGTCCTGATTAATAAACGTACCTATTTATAAATTAATACTAGTATTAAGTTTATATTTAAATAATCTTTCAAAATAAATGAAGTATTATAGTCCTTTCGAATTCTTTAAAATTTAATGACATTTCCTGTTGTAAGCATATAGTAAAAATGTTAATTTATTTTATTAAATTTTTTTTAGTTCCCGATATTAAACCCAATAATTAATAAGGCTATTATTTATAAAATTCAAAGGAAAAAATGTTTTCCAAACTATAAACCATAAAACCCATATACTTTTTCATTAAACCAACCCATTACTTTTTAAATACACTTGTATCGACAAGTCTTAACAAATTATTAACATTTTAAAGATGTACTCGAAAATTCACTATACGACTTTAATAATTTGTATAACCAAATTATGTCTAAAAAAAAACATAAGTACCTCATTCAATAAATCATTTGCTCTTCGTTATCATCTCGTGTTACACTAAGAAAAGCTGCGACCCCTATAAATCGTTTTTAACGAGAAAACCTGAAGCATTTGCCTAAATTAACTATTCAAAACCGGATATTTCCTCTGCACTTTTAAAAACCCTGACAATTTTTCATCCTAAAATACATTTCTTGTCATATTTTATATTGTCGGGACCCTTGGTGGGTGGGTATTTTCGGTGTACAAAATATATGCTTTTCAAAATATAGAAGGGGGAAAAATTCGATGTTTTATCGCCTCTCACCACGATTGAGAAACTTATTACAATACGATTACAGCAATAAATTACGAGAATACAAATCTTTTTTTGTTACCAACTTAAAAACCTAAGGAGTTTTCTTTTTTTTATGTATACATCCGAATCCTATTTAATTTACACATTAATCTGTATAGTTGTAAATTAAAATAGTATGATACGTTGATACCATATACGCACAACTATACAATTAGGTAATATTTAAATGTTTAAATAGTTAAAATATTATTATAATAACAATACAAACATAAAAATAATAATAACACATCAGTAAATCCATCAATAATGTAGAGTAGGTTATGAGTTATTCCGTGTTAAAAAATACGATTACTAAATATTTATAACGTTACTTCATTGTCAAGTATATAATATATTTTAATCGAATTTTCTTCGCTGAAGATTATTAATAGCTTATAAATAATAGGTACTTCTACGTCAGTATTCGATTTATGCGTTATTTACGTATAATTTAATATTTTCGTTAAATATCAATTGACTATTCCAAGTCCTTAGTTCCTAGCCAGATATTTTAAACGTATCTATAAAAACCGTTAAAAACAATTATAATTCTATGTAATTGATGACAAGACAGATAATAGGTATTATACTCCCAAAAAAAAAAATAAATAAATAAAATAAAATAAACAAAAAATCTAGGTGTGGTATTGATCCCATTTTTTGTTCCTCACTATATACTGACTATACAATTAAAATGTACCAATAAAATTATGAATAAAGTAAACAACCTACTACTTACTAAATGAGTAGTTTTAATTATTTGATTTATAAAAGCACCAAATAATTAAGGAACTTGGAAATATTAAAATTGTACGTATATAACTAGATAATATATAGGTAGCTAATGAAATATTTTATACTAAATATGAACATTTTCAAAT